GACCTTCCTTGAGATACGACCCGGTGTCGAATCTGTAGATTCTACTCCGGTAAAAATATTTACAACATCAGGGTAGAGGCACTTAGGAATCAAAGATAAATTAGTGTGGTTCCAATATTTGAGCAAAGTACCTGAGTGAAAAAAACTGTGTACTGCCTTCATGCGGTCTAGTTTGATCAAAGTCCAAAAATGTTGATAGAAAGCAGTTGTCATCCCTTCCTCACCTGGGGATTTGTCAGTTTGAAAGCTGAATAATGATTGATTTACTTCATCTTCATCAACAGGTTTGAGGAGGGCTGTGTTCATATCATGTGTGATGGTTTCTGGAATTAGGTGGAGAATTGATTCCCCACCCCAGCTGCCCTAAGTTGAGAAGAGATTAGCATAAAACTCAGAAATATGGGATTCCAACTCTGCCTGAGTAGAAAGAATTCTCCCTTGGTTAGATACCAACCTAGTTATTGCATTGAGCTTTCTCATCTGCAGAGTGTAGGCATGGAAAAACTTTGTGTTGGCATCCCCTTCTTTCAACCATCTGTACTTAGCTTTCTGTTGCCAATGTAGCTCCTTCTGAGAGTGTGCCTTATTCATCTTCCTTCTAGTGTCTTTCCAGATTTCCCAGTTTTTTCCCTTCTTATCAGTATTAAGCTCTTCCAACTTCTATGTGAGGTCTGAAATTTCTTCCTGTCTCTTGGATTGAAAGGAAGAACTCCAAATGAGGATAGCAACCCTGGTGTTCCTGACTTTCTCCTTAAGTTGGAAAAAAGGAGTGCCAGTGACTGAGATGTTTCAAGCAGCAGTGACCACCTCATCAAACCATTCTTTGCCAAACCATCTTTAATCAAAATGGAAGGGGGACTTTCTTTTCATTTGAGGCAGTCCCAAATCCAAAAGCAAAGCAGAGTGGTCTGAGGAACTTCTAAGGATATTGGAGACCACTGCATTGGGGTAAGATTTAGACCAGTCTAAGGAACCAAAAGCTCTGTCCAGCTTTTCTTCAACTAGTGCAGGAGCAGCTCTGTTATTACTCCAAGTGAAATTATAGCCATCAGATTTGATTTCCAGCATATCCATATCATTTACAAAGGAGCTAAAACCAAGGAAACTGTGTATTGGTCTGTTGACTCCTCATGTTTTCTCCGAATTTGAGAGGATGTCATTCCAGTCTCTAATTGAGAACCAAATGGGACCCCCATTTCTGTTTGGTTGCAATCATTTCTTCCCTTTGAGCTTCTCTAGTCAATCTGCAGGGACGGAGATACACAAAAACTCCCCATTGTGGGGGATGGGGCTGCAATTGAAGTTCTACAACAATCAAAAAATTCTTACATATAATTTGATTTATAACAATGTGAGTATCCCACAACAAAACAAGCCCCCCACTAAGGCCTATAGGATCAACTATAGCTGCTCTATTATCATAGCCTAATTTTTTACAGACAGATTTAACAAAAGCATTTGGTTTTTTGGTTTCTGAGAGGAAGATAAAATTTGGATGGTGAGCTTTCTCGAGCTCTCTGATTTGGGAAATTGTAGAGGGCCCACTCAGCCCTCTACAATTCCACACCAGAGCTAACATTGATCAGGTTGGAACCATTCCAGGCTGGCAACCCCCACCCTTTCTAAACTAGCTTTCTGCTTTTTAGTTTGAACCTGATTGAGAGTATTAGTATCCTCTGGTTGTTCTGCTGATTCCTGAGCTGGCCTTCCTCTTTTTCCCTTTGCCAACTGATCAATGCTGATAGGAGTCTCAGTTGTTCTGAGAAGTCTTCCCACCTTAGTGCCTGCTCTTTTCCAAGTCTTCAGAGACTGAGACTTATTAACATGGAGGGAGTCTTGTTTTAAAGAGTGCTCTAAGACTGTAGTTGTGTCTCCTTGTTTTACTTCCATGATTGTGGATTCAACAAGCTGCATTTTGGCTACTTCATTTTCCTCTTCTTCAGCTGTGTTTTGGGTAGCTGAGGCTACAGATGTGGCTCCAACTAATTTTGCAGGTGAATCTGTGTTCCCTATGCTGGGAATGATTTGGTTCTGTTCTTCAAATTGGCTTGATGAGGCTCGTTGGGAAAAGCCATTGTCTGCAGCTATTGGTGATTCTGGAGGTGGAGATGATCTAGAGCCAGATAAGCTAACAGGGGCCCATTTGAAACCATCAACTGCTCTCAACCAGTCTCCATACTGACCCTCTTGGAGAGAATTATTTCTTATATCTGCCATTTTTTTTAGACAACCCCTATCCAGATGACCGATTTTTCCACAGTAGTGGCAAAGATTGATTAGTTTCTCATATTTAAATCCAACATTTACAATTTGTTTCCTAAGTCGAACTTTAACAACTCTGGATGGAGGCTCATCCGCATTCAGAGTCACTAGAAGTCTAGAATCTTACGACCGTGATTTCCTGTAGTAGCAATAACCACATTTTTCAACTCTTTAAAAGCCTTCCCAATCTTGAGTCCCACCTCGATGCTGAGCCAGTTTAGGGGGATGTTTTGGACCTGCACCCAGAGATGAAGCTCCTGAAAACCCCGGTGTTTGCTGTTGATACCCGCATCCTATTCTTTGAGGATAAGATACTGGTTCTCGAAACTCCAGTTTGTTCCATTGGCCACCTTCTTCATATCATCCCGGTTCTGGAAAATGAACTGGAAATAGTTTTGAACTGAGCTCTTTAACATCCATGGGATGGCTGAGCTTCCATATCTGGGACATAGCTCGCTTTATACCGATCCAGCTAGCTGGTCTATTTCCCACTATTTTTCCAAATAGGCTTCTATTGCACTCGTCATCACTGACTTTGATGTCTTCCTGTGCAATATCGAAGATTTTGGCGTCATTTGTAGAGAGTGAAACCTTGTTTAAACTATCCGAGCCGCCATATTACCCCTAAATTCCTCAATTGACGAGAAATAGAGAAGAATGCGCAGAAAGGGGGAAAAGATACCGAAAAAACCAGCCGATCGATGATTATCAGGGAGGGAAAAAACTGAAAACAGACAAACAAGTATTTAAATCGAAGTGCAAACTGACCAACGAGGATTGAACACTAAGAAAAAAAGCTCTCAAAGAGAGAATCATAGCTCTAAAAGAGAGAATCTCCTCCATATATCCTTAATCATTGTCTAAATAATTTTTAAAATATCTAAAATATTATATAAGTTAATAATATTAATAATATTTGAAATAATATTAATAATTAGATAGGTCAAAATTAGTTTTTTTTTTTTAAAAAAAAATACATAAAGGATTTAGGTTGCTAATGAGACATTAGAATGTGTTACCTTTTTTAAAAAAAAAAAACATTATGCTACAATAGTTTTTCAAAAAAATCTGTTACAAATGGATGACACTGAGATTTATGTGATGAGATTATGTAAGCTTACGATGAGAGTTTTTATGTGGGATTTTGTATGATGAAATTTTTTCTACGATTGTATTTTTTAATTTTTAAAACTTATCGACTTATTAAACAATTTCCACAACATCAATTTATTTTGAAATGCAAATTTCATGTTTTTAGGGATGCATTTAATGATTCGATTTTAAGTTAACTAAAAGGTAACAAATTCAATGTTTCAATGACAGCATTTAATGCTGCCTTTTTTCACTTAAAAAAAAAAAGTTGCCATAAGTAGCATGTAATTAATAATGATAAGAGATTTTCACTAAGATTTGACTTATTATTTTTAAAAAATGGTAATTCTTATTTTTTATATATATAGATAGATATAGATAATCAAATAAAGAAGCAAAATTACATTACCAAAAAAACATGATATAAGCATTTACTAAAAAACAACTAAAATTTCATTACTTCAAATTCATCTGCATGAAGTGTCCATCACACATTTTTCTGGCGAACAACAAAAATAATAGAGACAACGTAGTCGTGTAACTTGTAAGTAATTTATTAGCCATAAACCTTTGTTTCAACATGTTAGAAGCGTAAATGTTGCAACTTTGAGACATTATGATACAACTCGAACAACTACTTTCTGTTTGGTTTGTTGGAAGTTGAAGTGGTGATTGGTGGAATTTGAGATTCATTTATGAGGTTGCACTCACCTCTTTATTTGTCGAAAACCTAAGGGTTCCTCCGCAAGGTTCGTCCATTGAGCAGTTGTGATTGATCAAGAAGAAAATCCAAAAGGAACTCGAAAAAGAAAGGCGAAAGAGACAACAGTGGCAGTCTTGTATCAGACTGGCTGTCTTCTTGCCCCGAACCACATTTTCTAAACGAACCAGAGACAATCGGGAACTCGGCAAAATAGCCCCGTAACTTCGGGAGAAGGGGTGCCTCCTCACAAAGGGGGTCGCAGTGACCAGGCCCGGGCCCTGGCTGAATATCTCATGGGGATGCCCGATTTGCGATTGAGCTAGCCGGCAGAGCTGTGGCTCCTCCCACTGCTTGGGAGCCCACGTATTGCCATTAACAAAGTCAGATTTAAATTTTAGAAGAATGCTACCATCCCGCTACGGAATGGTTGCGTTGTATATTTTAAGCGTCCGGTATGATTCTGTTGTATATTTTAAGTGTAGCTTATCTACAATGCTGCTTCAAGTGGAGGGACGTCGTGCCCAAACCTATCCCTTGTGCTTAACTTGAACAAACTTACATTAACAAAACTTCTCAAGGCTTGTACAAATTTTCATTAACAAATAAAATGCTTCCCAAATACACAAACCAAATTCACATGGCCTCACTTGACAAATTAAAAGATGAAAAAGAATAAAAATAAAAATAAAGAATTTCATAGATGATCAGAAAATCTCTGCAATGGTCAGGAGCACTAATAGGTGCTTCAGTTTGTGTTGTACTTACCATTTCAAACTCAAAAAGAAATCATCCAAGTATTAGAACAATCATCATTGGGGGAGAAAAATTATACACTCCTCAATCAGAAGATCTGCTAAACTTACCAAAATATACTACCCCCAATATGGGGGCAAAAAAAAAGAAAAAAAAAAAGAAAAAAGAACATTTTTCAAATTCCCCTCCATCACCTCACACACAGCGCGTTCATTAACACATGACAGAGCATGAGGTCGACGAAGTACTGGTGCCCGATCAGACCGTCCTTCCACCTCATTTTTAGGGGGGCCCGCCCGTAGTGGACCCCGTCGTTACACCGGTTATCATAATGCCACGGGTACGTCATGTCGAAATCATCGACAACCCGATCGAGCACCCCGTGAGCCCTCATCTTATCCAGCACCACCCCATTAAAAGCCTCCATTTTCGCGGGATTGAACGCCAATTTCCTTGCATACCCTCCCGTTGCCACTGTAGTCCGGTATATAATCTCGGGCACAACGAGCCCTCTCTCCCTAACCCCTCCCACAACCTCAGCCCAAAAGGCGGCCGTGAAATCTGCCCCCTTCACAAAACCCCGGATATTGGGCCAGAAAACCCCGTCGTGCAGACCTGAGTTCATAATAACCGTATCCGGGACCACATCGCCCGAGAAATAGCCTTTGATCAAATTTCTATACTCGGGATTGATTAACGAGTTCAGGCCCTGGTAGTTGCCCGTATCGTTCGGGTGCCCATTGAAGATGCTCGTAAACCGGACCGTCTGGGCCTGGTTTGATGGGTTTGTGATATTTCTGTCGAATATTCTCGGCACCGCCGCCACATCGTGCACGCCCAGCACGAAATTGAGTAGGTTCCGAATTGTGTCACAATGGTTCGAGTCTCCCCACCAGAAAATCCACCTGCCGGCCAGACAATCCCAGGCCTCGTGACCTGAAAACAGCCCAAACGAGCAATGGGCAGAGTAAACCCACCCATTGCTCTCCAATAGGCCCAACGGGCCCCAGCACCAGGGCTTCTGGCAGGGGAAATTCGACACCTGGCATCTGTACCTCCCGTCATTCTCGATCATGCAGCTGTCGTTCTTGGCATGTCGGGTCCACCTGCCCGACCATATGTCCCTTGAAAAATCGGATTTTTTATCGCATTTTTTAATTCCAGGCAGGAGGGATTGGGATGTCCGGAATCTGATTGGGACCACGCGGAGTGTCCGGTCGAACGCAAAGCGCGCAGGAGAGAATTTCAGGCCCTCGTAGCTTCGGAATAAAAGGATTATGGTCAGATTGTATTCCCCTGGGAAGTTAGGGTGGACTTGGAGGGAAAACGTGTAGGTCCCGTTCCCTAAATCCTTGATCGGTGGCCGGGACTTCCATTTTTCGCCCGAGAGGTCGATTTCGAAATAGTCCCCTCCCAAACAATGTGGGGAGCCCAAATCATCCAGAGCCTGGAAACTGAACTCGTGCACATCCCCTGTCGATAGCTCGATTTCTCTGCTTTCGCCATCGATTTTGGAGATCCGTATGTCGACGGTTTTCGAGTCCCGGCAATGGTCGCCACCTGGGGTCAGCCATCTCGCGAGGAGACTGGACGAGTAGTTTGGCTCGAGCTCGACCGAGACCCAGGGGACAATGAAGGTCGAATCGGACCGAACCTCGGAGCTGGAACTCGAGGCGTTCTGTGAAGATGGGGCAAAACAGGAATCAAGATTAACATGGGTTTGGCTGGAATTTGCCTGCTGAGGTTCTCCCAATTGGGGAGGCTTGGTAAAGTTTGGATCTTTATGGGGTTGTGAGGAAATCTGAGGGTTGTTGAGATGAAAGACGACGAAATCCTTTGGCAGATTCTCCATATTTAACCCATCAAACCCCCAGAAAATCAGAACAGCAAGAAAAGCGCCCATCATCAAGATTCTGAACCACCAATGGACCATGGGGTTTGACCTCACAATCCATGCTAATTTTGCAGCTTTCTCGGGGACCTTGTAAGAACACATGCTGGGCCAAAGAAAATTAAATGGCAATCCTTTTTTTTTTTTTTTACCTAAAAATGGTGGCAAAAATGAACCTATAATCGATGAGAAATTGGAATTTTTGCAAACAAGAATACGAAAAAGTGCTACAAATCTTGAAAAATGCGGAGTATATACAATAAACAAGTGGCTGACAGAAAACATTCCCCAGCAAAGGGTATGTATATTTTTAAGTTTCTTGAAGAAAGAAAACAAGAAGAGAATTAATTAATTACCTGTGTTGTGCCTCAATTTTGTTTCCAGTTACAAAAATCTCAAAGCTTTTTTTTTTTGTCAACGCACAAGGAAGAATTTGCTCCCCACTCTGTCATGCGAAAAATGTGGTCATGAAAAGATGATAATGTATGAGATAGCTAATTGTAGAGCCGTAGATGTCAAGGAGAATAATGAGAATAATAATAATGTGAGAGAAGATAAAAACTAATGGAGTGTGGGAGGATGATGGGATTTAAGAGGCTTATACAAAGGATTTAATAGAATAATATAGATGAGAGAGAGAGAGAGAGAGAGAGAGAGAGAGAGATGTACTTGTTCGGAGGCAAATAATGAAGACAAAAAACTTTATTTATTATTATGTTTTCCGGAGTATAAATTAGAAAGGGCAATGCTATATGTACACCCCTTTTTAATAAATTACACAAAGGGCAATGCTATATGTACACTCTTTTTTTACACACAAGGGGGTGTACATATAGACACCCCCATTAGAAATCAGCCCCAAATGAGTGGATTAAAAAGTGGAATAAAAGTGAGAGGACAAATCTGAAGATCGACTACAATTTAAACTGAAACAAAAACTAGACTACACACCCAACAGCACAACAAAAACTAAAAAGCTCCAATAATGGAGAATCAACACTCACACGAGAGATTGCACGCTCCCAGATAGGAGAAAACACAAATCCAAAACCACAAGCCTAACACACGACACATTAACACAAACACATAACAACTAAAGTTAAAATAAACTGAGACCTTTCCACAGTAGGCAAACCACACTGCGCACTACTCCATGGTGGAAACCACAACCGACCACCCCAACGAACTGGACCACAACCTAAGTTGCTGCTTCAGAAACTGCCCAGCACGCCTAACTGAAGTCGAAACCCAAAACCTGGTCACAGTGTGAATATATATATATATATATACATAATTATAGTTAAAATAGTATTTTTTTATCACATTGTGAAAATGTATTAAGGTTTTCCAGAATACCTGCTAATAAGGTAATTTATTCACCTCATAAAGTGCGAAGACATTGTGCAATGAATATGCAGTTGTGTGATGACATTGTTTTAATGTTAAAAGTGCGAAGACATTCACATCTCACCTTTTTTTGTGTAAAAAAAGATAAAGTATGAAGGTATTGTGTGATGAACACGCGACAGTTTGCAACTGATATGCGACAGATAAGCGAACCATACTCGTAACTTTCATCTTTTTCGTAGTGGAAAAGTTAGATTGTTAGCGGTCGGTGTGGATCCCAATTCTGGCCATTAATTTCTGGAGAATCAATAGCTCATATTAATCAATTGAAATTTTCATTAATTATATAATAAAAGTAATAATTATTATTTAAATTAATTGTTGGTTGGCAGTCGTTGACCAATCAACGTCGGTGATCATCATCATCTCAAGAGTCAGATCACGACCTCATCATCGTCCACGCTGACGACCGAGAAAGCAGACGACCAGGATGGCCCCACTCATCACTGCCACCACCACCACCATCATCCTCTATCGTGCCCCTGCTGCAATTCCTCTAATATCAAGTTATGATACTACAACACCTGCAGCCTCTCCCAATCCAAGTAATCATGAATATCTCATACGTCAAAATCTCCAAATAACAATTAATTTGCAAGTATGACACCAGGGAGCCGCAGGTCGAACTAAAATAGGCATATTCAGACGAAAATGTTACGATCAATCAATCGAATTCTCAATCTGGTAAGAATCCGTAGAAAGGGAAAAACAAATTGGGAAATAGATTTCCAATGAAGATGTATCGATGTCGCTGATGAGATGATGCCTTGATGAGATAATCGTAATCCGCTTTTGCCCTAGCCAGTGGTGCAGCCATTGACCATTGCTAACGGTACACTGAAAAAACTATCTCGGTTCGGGTCGTTGGCCCTAACTTTTTATGTGCCCTATTTAAGTTTTTTCTTCGATGCTATAGATTTCGTCGCCGGTGGTCGCAAAATGTTTCGAAAAGAAAGAAACGATGCAGGAGAAAGGTCTACCCTAGGGTGCAACTTGAAATCTCCGACAATTCACGTACACTAGGATAATGGAGGTTCTGATAAAATTGATGATGATAAAAATGTGTGTTTGTAGTTTCACGTAAAGAATTTTATTCTTGATTTCTTAATCAACTTGAATTAACACATAATACATATTTATGTCATACATAATTCATATTAGTTCATTCATAATGTATATTTAATTAAAACTAACATACTTAGTGCATATTTAATTCATACATAATGCATACTTAGTTTATTTGTAATGCATACGTATATAATAACAACTGCATATTAATTTTGACAAGAACACTGTCAATTTGAAGATTGCACATTTACTTCATATATAGTGAAAATTTCGTTCATAAACAATTCATACTTAGTTGATATCAATTGCACATTTTGACAGGCACACTTGTCAGTTTGAAGAATGTATAGTTAGTCCATACATAGTGTATATTTAGTTCATAAACAATGCATACTTAGTTGATATTTATTGCATATTTTGACAACATTTAGTCAACGGTCAACGTTAAAAAGTCAACAATCAACGCTGACAGTCAACGCTGGAGTTAATGGTCAACATTAGAGTCAACGGTCAATAGTGATGATAACCTGTCAAATCAATATTTAAATTACTAAAAAATATATATTAAATATTAAATGTTGGTCCACATCTTATTCTTTATTTAATGGATATGATTGAGTCTCACATTACGATTAATAATAGAGACTCGTTTGATCCAATTCATGTATTAATTAAAGATGAGTCAACTAATCTAGGTTAAAAAATATTTTTAAATTATGTTAAGTGACCATGATGTCCTTGTAATTAGTGTCCTACAAACCGAGAATGGGTCTATGATATAGGTGGGGGTAGGAAGACCTCTTTTATCGGTGACCTAGTTTTATGGTCACCAACTACAAGACAAGAAAAAAAAAACAAAGGAAAAAACAACTTTTTCTGGCGATCCAGGTCACAATGTGACCTTGGGTCGCAACCTGTGGTGGGCAAGGGAATGGGGCACTTGTACTATTCCTATTGGACATGATTATTTTTAAAATAAGATAAAAGATAATTTAAATTAATGGAATTAATTTACATTAAAAAATAAAAATACTAAAATTCGTATTTTTCCATTCACTATAAACAGAGACCTTATTTGATATGTTTTGATACACAGTTGCAATTTCTCTTTCTACTTTTGTTATTCGATAAGTCTAAGTATTATTCTTTGATTAATCTTATATTTAACTATAATTTATGTAATTTTAATTTTTAATTGAGTTCATTTTTTTATTGTAAGGTAAAATATTAAATTTTTGAAATCATTATGACTTTAATTATAAATTTTTAATTAATTTGTAACAAATATAACAATAACAAAAAAAAAATCATTTGTAGATACTTGATAAATAAATAAATAAATAAAATAAATATTTTAAGTTAGGTTGGGTCGAAAATAAAGATAAGTTGAGTTGTGTAGGTGAGGGAAAGATATAAATAATTTATAATCGTTAAGTTGGTTGGGTTGGGTTGGGTTTTGAGTAAAGATAGTCTAATATCGTATCCCCCCCTATGTATATAGTTTCAGATTGAGCTGAGCCTAAGTGGCAGGCTCGCACGCTTTAGAATCGTATGTGACAATTTTTTTATGGACATTGCCAGAGGGCATATAACTTGGGTCAAAGAGCTTCTGCAGGACAACAGCCATAGACGGAACTTTTGGCTGGTGAAGCAACTATTTAATGAAGATGGCAGCCGCTTTTTTTGCTATCAAATCTCTGAACCCCAGGAAAAAAGACAAATACTACTGGAGCTTTGACAAGAAAGGACAGTTTTCAGTTGCTTCCACTTACTCCTATCTCATCAGGCAGAAACTCTTGCTTTATGATGTCCCAGAAATGAGTAAGAACTCTTCTCTCATCGGAAGAGCTAGGCTTAGGAGTTGGAATTTGAAAATTATGGGAACTATTAAACATTTCATGTAGAGATGTTGCTTAGGAATTCTACCAGTGAAGGCAAATTTATTGAAGAGGGGAGTAGCAATGGATATCTTATGCCCTTGATGTGGTGAATGTGCTGAAACCATAGAACATGTACTACGCTACTGCTCAAGAGCTCAAATGCTTTAGAAACTGGGGCCAGTTCAATGGGATGAAGTTGATCTTAATGGTAGCTCATTCAGAACATGATGGTGGCAAATATGCTCAATAGATAAAACTCCGGTAGCAGAGGACATGATACAACTCATTACCTATTTATTGTGGTGGTTGTGGAAGTCAAGGAATTTATGGGTCTTTGAAGGGCTACAAATGTCAATCCCAATTGTGATCAAAGCAGCGCACAAGGAATGGCTTGAATTCAGTGAGACCAAGTCTTGACTAGCATTTTTCATTGTCTTGGTGTTATGCTTTGTAAACATGTGGTAGTATGGTTTTTATATGCATGTGATTGTAGGTCGGTGGGCCGAATGTATGATGTGAGATTTTACTATGGCGGCTTGAAATAAGAGTCACTAGGCCGAGTAAATATCAGTTAAGTTTTCTACTAGCGGGACTGGTAATACCAATAACACTAGTAGAGTTATTTATTAGCGGGATCGGTTGATGCCGAATGCAATAGTAAGTAACCATACCAACGTTCATGTATTTAGGTTAACGGTGTATAATAGCTAATCAGTCGGGTATATCCTGGGGGCTTCAAATAAGAGTCAA